TTGGAACCATGCCCACCATCAGCAACTCGCCTCGGGGGTTCGGAGCCGGCTTCAGTTCATGAGGAGAGGCAAGGAAGGTTTCCCTAACTCCTGTTAACTAGTTGTACGGATCCGTTCCCTACACATGGAGGGGGGGCTTGATGAGAAGTTGGAGTGACTTCCCAGGCTTAGCCAGTGCTTTAGGATGTGAAAATGGACTGAAGTGGGCAACAGCTCTGATGGGCACTGGAAGAGAGTAAGCCCAGCCAGCAGCCTTGAACTCAGGGTAGAAATTGTGTCAGGACAGGAAGCAAGGCAGAGGAGCTTAGGTAATTGAACCCCCTCTTCTTTTGGAGACAGGCACCCCCTGGGCCATTCCCCTGAACTGGCTTTGGGGCTGCCACTCCCAGACTCCACTTTCCTGCTCTCCTCACCAATGGTCCTGTTCCCCCAACTTGCCAGAGCCCTGGGATAGGCTCTCGCCTCCTCCCACACCAGCTGGTCCACCACCACCCTGACCATTAACAACTCACACACCTCGCCCATTGGCGGCTGCCCTCAGCTGCCAGTGCCTGGATGGGAACTGTACTGAACAGGGGGACTTTCTTTCTTTCTCTTTAAAATCTCTTCCCTACAAGCTGCCACGGTCCCCAAAGTCAGGTTGTGGGTAATGGAGGTACTTCCTGTGGGCTTCAAGTGCATTATTCCATTGAATCCTCAAAATGATCCTACCAGGGAGGTGTTATTATCTTTATTTTTGGATGAGGACACAGAGACCCAGGAAGGTTAGGGCTCTTGCTTAAAATCATAATATATACAGGGCAAGGGTGGGGTGCACACCCAAATGGTCTGACTCTAAGCTTGAGGGTGTAGGGGAGGGGAAGTGAGGTGGGTCTACCTGGGTGCAGGTGAGAAGAGATTTTAAAATATAATAAAACCAACTAGAAATCAGATGGCCTTTTTAAGCAAGTTTTTTTTTTTTAAATGTTTATTTATTTATTTAGAGAGAAAGAGCACAAGCAGGGGAGGGGCAGAGAGAGCGGGAGAGAGAGAATCTGAAGCAGGCTTGGCACTGTCAGCGCAGAGCCCGACGCAGGCTCCATCCACAAACCCTGAGATCGTGACCTGAGCCAAAATCAAGAGTTGGACGCCCAACTGACTGAGCCACCCAGGCGGCCCCAGATGGCTCTTTATCATCACCATGTATAAGCAGTGGTCAGTAACGCAGTGAGGAAATATTTTTCCTCACTTGGTGAACCAGACCAATACTCCCACGTTTGTATACGTGGCGCCTGACACTGGAATAGCCAAGGTACAACTCGGGGGTGGGGGCAGGACTCAACTGGGGCACTGAGGATGGCAGAACAAAAAGATGGAAAGAATCTGGGTTGTTCTGTTTATAACTGTGGTAAATTACACATAAAACTCGCCATTTTAACCACATAATTCAGTGGCAGTAATGTACATTCGCAATGCTGTACAACCATCATCACTACCCATTTCCGGAACCTTCGTCATCCCAAACAAAAGCTCTGTATCCATTAAACAGGACTCCCTATTCTTTCCTCCCTCCAACCCCTGGGAGGGGTTCTTCCTGTTGTTATGAATTTGCACGTTCTAGGCACCTCATGGGGGAGAATCAAGTAACATTCATGTTTGGCTTTTCAGTCCAGTTTTTTCTTTCATTTACCATGTTTTTAAATTCATCTGATGTTGTAGTATTGTATCAGAATTTTTTATTTTATTTGAGAGAAAGAGTGTGTGTGAGCAGGGAAGAGACAGAGAGAGAGAGAGGGGGGAAGGGAGAGGGAGGGAGGGAGGGGGAGGGAGAGAGAGAGAGAGAATGAGAATCCTAAGAAGGCTCCACATTCAGCACAGAGCCCGATGCAGGGCTAGGTCCAATGACCTTCGGATCGTGACCTGAGCTTAAATCAAGAGCTGGACATTCAACCAACTGAGACACCCAGGCACCTAAGAATTTTTTTAAGGTAGAATAATATTCCATTATTGCTTACAACTTGGGTTTTATTGACACTTTGGAGACACCATACCTTAAGGGAGCTCCTTAAGTTCGAGAAGTTTATCTTTTAGTGTAGGTTATGGGGCACTGGGTTTTCTGTGTCTTACAGCTGAAAGAACTCCAACTGGCCTACAAGGTACACCTCAGGCTCTTGTGTGAAGCTCCAAGGTGAGCGATGAGGCCCAGAGAGTACTCAGATGGAAGGTCTCCAGCACATGGTAAAATTTACACAAAATTTTTGCATGCGTGTGTGTAAATCTCATCTATATTTACATACACACAGGCACAAATGTGCAACTAAGGCCACACCTTTCATTATTTTCCTCCTCCCTTTAGCTGCTTTGATAACTTTTTTAAAAAGTTTATTTTGAAAGTGTGCACTCACATGCCAGTGGAGGTGGGGCAGAGAGAGAGGGAGAGAGACAATCTCAAGCAAGCTGAGTGAGTGGGGCTTGATCCCACAACTTCAAGATGTGGAGAAACAGCCACCCTCTTACACTTTTGGTGGGAATGTAAACAGGTGCAACCACTCCAGAAAAACAGTGTGGAGGTTCCTCAAAAAATTAATATTAGAACTCCCCTATGACCTAGTAATAGCACTGCTAGGAATTTACCCAAGGGATATAGGAATGCTAATGCATAGGGGCACATGTACCCAATGTTCATAGCAGCACCTTCAACAACAGCCAAATCATGGAAAGAGTCTAAGTGTCCATCAACTGATGAATGGATCAAGAAGACGTGGTTTGGGGCACCTGGGTGGCTCAGTAGGTTAAGTGTCTGACTTCAGCTCAGGTCATGATCTCATGGTTCATGGGTTCAAGCCCCACGTTTGGCTCTGTGCTGACAGCTCAGAGCCTGGAGCCTGTTTCAGATTCTGTATCTCCCTCTCTCTCTGATCCTCCCCTGCTCACACTCTCTCTCACTCTCTCTAAGAAATTTAAAAAAAAAACATTAAAAAATTAAAAAAAGATGTGGTTTATCTATACAATGGAATACTACATGGCAATGAGAAAGAATGAAATCTGGCCATGTGTATGTAGCAACATGGATGGAACTCGAGGGTGTTATGCTGAGCAAAATAAGTCAGGCAGAGAAAGACAGATAGCATATGTTTTCACTCAATGTGGAATAGGAGAAACTTAACAGAGGACCATGGAGAAGGGGAAGGGGAAAAAATAGTTAAGAAGAGGGAGGGAGGCAAACCATAAGAGACCCTTAAATACTGAGAACAAATGGAAGCTTGGTTGGGGGTGGGAGGGGAAGGGGGGTGATGGACATGGAGGAGGGCACTTGTGGGGATGAGCACTGAGTGTTATATGGAAACCAACTTGACAATAAACTATAATAAAAATTTTAAAAATAATAAATAAAATAAAGGTTATTTGGAGAGTGTGCGTGCGCATGCCAGTGGGGGAGGGGTCAGAGAGCAAGGCAGAGAGAGAATCCCAAGCAAGCTGTGTGCTCGGGGCTTGATCCCACAGGTGCAAGATCATGCATGACCTGGATCAAAATCAAGAGTTGAGTGCTCAACTGATGGAGCCGGCCAGGTGCCCCAGGAATTCTTTTCACAGCTGTTAATTTCAACAGTTATTCAGGACTTAACATTCTTCTTCATCATACAAAATATACATAACTCCAAACTGAGACATGGCGCCTGGTGCTCTGAGTAGCACAGATGGATGCCTCATTTCAAAAACACTTCTCAACAACCTTCCCTGGAGTTGGAAATAATCAAGTGCAGTCAAGGGTAAAGAATAAAAGCATTTATTTAAAAAACACCGTCCAGCATCAGGAGATCCAACTTCGGTAGGAAGCGTGAAGGGCGGGGTGGCTGATGTTTTTGAGTGTATGAAATTGGGAGATATGCAAAGCTGTCTGGTTAAAAATCCATCTATATATTTATTATTAAAACTGGAAGAGTGAGTAAGGAAGCTACTATAATAGAAAGGGACTTCAAGTAAAGACGCCGCCGCCGTCCCATGAAAACAATCTCTTCTTCAGTAAGTACTGGCAAAGCTGGAGGTCTGACTTCCTTGTGGGATTAGGCAGAAGCTCCTCATCAACATTCCGTCATGGCTATGGAGAGGCAGATGCAGAAAGATGCGAGCCGACCCCCTGTACTCATAAGAGATGCAGAAAAGTGAGGAGAAAGAAAAATGGGGCAGAAGGACTTTGCTCAACGGTCCCCATAAAAATGTATTTTGAAAGAATCTGAGGAAGCACAGATCGTCCTTCTTTGCTGACTATAAAAGTGTTAACAGACAGCGTTAGAAATCAATTATGCTGTCAGACATCACAGTAGCCTTTCACTGTAAGCGTAGCTAACGCCTCCTGCAAATTATGACACATCACATTACAAAATTGGTTTTGTATTTTTTTTTTTTTTTTTTTTGCTCGTTTGCTTTTCTGGTCCCTAGTTGTTCACATTCTGGGAGAGGACAAAGGCCTTTAGAGAGGCATCAATTCAACCCTTTCATTTCACAGATAAAGGAGGGTAAGGTCACATTCAGCCTCAGTGGCAGAGACTGGACTGGAACCAGGTCTGCTGATCCCCCCGTGGGGTGCTTTCCCTGTCACGACGGGATGTGATTCGCACTCCACCCCGTCCCCAGTCTGTACCTGAGGGCTCTTGTTCCGGCTCGGCTGGGGAGGCGGGGCCTGAGGGGAAGGAACGGGGCCATGTGGGCCTCTCTGCCTCGCTGTGAGCGCCTCCTACTTCCACCCCAAGTCCACACATAATCTACAACACGCATGCACGCACGCACAGTCAGGCCGCTCTGATCACCCAGCTGAGAAATACTTCCTGGGCAGAGCACTGTGACAGGAATTTCTTTTTTAGTTCTTTTTTGATATTTATTTATTTTTGAGAGTGAGAGCCAGCATGAGCAGGGGAGGGGCAAAGAGAGAGAGAGAGAGAGAGAGAGAGAGAGAGGATCCGAAGTAGGCTCTGTGCTGACAGCAGAGAGCCTGACGCGGGGCTCAAACCCACAAACCGTGAGATCATGACCTGAGCTGAAGTCGGGAGCTCAACTGACTAAGCCACCCAGGCGCCCCGGCAGGAAGTTTTAAAGGCTGCCTTAAGAGAGATTAAGGAGAACATCTGGTCAAGGACACTCCAGGGGACATGGTGGCAAGGTTCCCTGGAGTCCCTAACCAGGATGCCATCAAATGGCATTACTACTCAGTAGCAGGCACTGTCTCCAAATACCCATATTCCAGCAGAGAGAAAAAACACATCTGATTGGATTCTTTTAAAAAGCCCCACCATTCTCGTATCTGCTTTTAATTTCCTATTTATCATGACTTAACATTCTGAATGTTCTCTGGGGCTCTCCATCCTTCTGGGTGGCCATACCAGTACCGCTCAGCTGCAACAGTTCTGGGAGGTGCCTCAAGAGCGAGGATACTCACATCTCCCGGGGATGTCTTCTTCCATGTGTCCTTGGAGAACAAAATACTAGTGTTACCGTATTTTGATAAGGTCTACCCTGTAAGTCTGGGTTGAAGGGCTGCTGCAAGGAATGTGAATTAAGGCTAATCTTCTGGGATATTCGCGAATGAGGAGAACCGTGATGGGAACGTTCTTCAAACTCTGATGATCTCCGGTTTATCAACACATCGTTGCAGAAGACCTCAAGTCTGCGCAGTGTCCCGTACGAACTTGGCTTTCTTGGTGCCCCTAGGTTTCTGGAAGAGCCACATTCTCTTTTATTTCTCAAGGGAAGGCGAATCATCTGTTGCAGAAAACAAGAGTCAGCCTTGGGGGGCAGGGGGAGGGGGGTCCATCTCAGGCGATCGATTGCCTTCACAGGGTAGTTCTGGTCTCTTTCCATATAGATTGCTGTATCTTATACACAGACTCCTGGAAGATCCTCTCCACTTGGGTAGGAAAGCCACGGCTCTCCTCCTCCAGGGCATTGATGGTGCGCAGAGCAAAGGGAGTCCTTTCTCGGGGCAGGGGGTTATTCAGGGGTCGCAGGGGTATGACAGAGTTATACTTGTGCCTCCTGTTCACCGAGTTCATGAGGGACGTGTAGAACTGGAACTTACACCAAGTGTCTCTTAAAAAGTTCTCGGTCAACAGTAAGATGGTCCAGGCGGACCCGTTGACGGCGTCATCCAGGTTCTGTAGGTGCTGCCTGCCGCACGGCATCTCGGCGAAGATTATTCCGGGTCTGATGCCGAAATCATTCTGCAGCAGATTCTGGACTCTGAGGGCTTCATCCGTGTCGTCTTCTGCGTGCAGTATCACAAACTTGAGGAATACCTCCTCCTCTTCCCCTTCAGACGCCTCTTCTGTGGCCTCAGGGCCCTCCCGCTCTCCAGGGGGCAGCGGGGCGCCAGGGCTGCGCTCAGCAATAGCGCGTAGGGAGATGTCCTCGGATTTCTTGGACTCTGCCTCGTGAGGTCTCTGACTCATATCTACACCAGGGCTTTTTCCCCAGGGCAGAGAGAGAGGGCAGGGGTCTATTTTAGACTTCCCGACACCCATTATCAATATCCAAGTCGGGAGAGGAGACCTTCACTTCTTCCTCAACGTCTCTTTTCATTCTAAAAAGGGAAGAAACAACAAAGCAGACGAAAGCTTGTAAAAGCGATCAACACATTAAACATGGAAAATGTGTTCTTCATTCGACCGGAAATCCCCGAAAAGATCATAATATATAGGTCCTGAGAAAGAAAGGCCAATCAGATCTTGGGGCCAGGTGACCCTTTGTCTTTTATGAGCATCACAAGGGCCACCACAGGGAAGGCCGAACAGAGCGTCAATGTAACAGGAGACATTTGGAAATCTTAAACGGTATTATGTTCGCACTGTAGACCTCCAGAATAAAGTCAGTTGCCTTGGTATTTCACTGGGATGGTACCATACCACTCTCTCCATATGGAGTCTAAATCCAAACTTCTTCATTATCCAATTATTGTGTAAATGGGAAACAGTGAAGTTGAAAACAACAGAATACTCAAATATAAAAAGTATTTTTGTATCAAACACAAACACAAAACAGAACACACATTTCCTAAAGAGCATTAGCCTCCAGCTCTACTAACTCAGCACAAAGAGAAGACCTGAAATGGCTAATGAAGTGACATCCAGGGTTTACCAGCTCAGAGCTTTCTGGCTGCTCTGGGCTCAGGCACTGGTGTTGGGGCTGGTGGCGAAATTGCAGGAAGGGTTGTGAAAAGTACAGAATGTCTTTTTCTGGCTAATCTTGGGAATACTTCAGAAAACTTAGGGTTCATCGACAGAGAAATTGACACTTCATTTTGGGCATGGAATATGGAAACAAAGGCTGCTGATTTTCTCCAGTGAAATCAACAAAGAATCATTATAGTCTATCCTCATTCTGTTGTTTTAAAAATTCTAAGTTCAGGGGCACCTGGGTGGCTCAGTCAGTTAAGCGTCTGACTTTAGCTCAGGTCATGATCTCGTGGTTCATGAATTTGAGCCCCACGTCCAGCTCTGTGTTGACAACTCAGAGCCTGGAGGCTGCTTCTGATTCTGGTGTCTCGCTCTCTCTCTCTCTGCCCCTCCCTTGCTTGCACTCTGCCTCTCAAAAATAAATAAAAACATTAAAAAAAATTAACATTAAAAAAATAAAAATTCTAAGTTCATAGTGGAAGAATGAGATCAGCTATGAAAATAAAGTACTTCACGTGAATCTAGTTTAAACAAATTTTCAGGTAATGTTGTTAACAGGACCCCTAACTAGGCAGTTTCAAGGGGGATTCTTTCATCAAAAGATAGAAAATTTACAACAGAAAAATAGGGGCTCCATATTTTCAAAGAGGGGCCCAAAGGCTCTATTCTGGAGCTTTTTTAAAATATATATTTTTAAGTTTATTTATTTTGAGAGAGACAGAGTCCCAAGCAGGCTCCACGCTGTCAGCACAGAGCCGATGTGGGGCTTGATCTCAGGAACTGTGAGATCATGACCTGAGATGAAATCAAGAGTTGACTGCTTTACAGAGTGAACCACCCAGGTGCCCCTCTATTCCAGAGTTTTAATATTTATTGTTCATGGACAAAGGCCAGAGTTTAAATCAAGAACACAATTAGGTTTACAATCATAATGATTGTATATGAATAACATATACCAAAATAATTTAGGTTTAGAAAAAAAGCATTTAGCAAAAATGGTGGAAAACTGTTATGGGAAGAAAAGTTAAGGAAAAACACAGAACATTTTTTAATGTACTTAAGCAGAGAAAGGGTTTGCTACTGCCTCTGAACAGTGAGGGAGTTGCTCCCTACTGTGTCTCCTTTATTATGTCTGTACTTTAGCTTCTACTCGACAGCTACCAAGAGGTACTCTATGGCGTTAACTCCAAAATGCCACACACATCCATCCCAAAGAGCAAAACTGCGTGAATTTGGAATCTCTTCACTGGTTAGAATTAACTGCTGACTTTGTTGTTGTGTGAGGGAAAAAAAGGTGTTCTTTGCAAAGCTGCAGCAAGAAGCTTCTCCTGTATAAAAAATAATTGTTGGGGTGCCTGGGTGGCTTAGTCAGTTAAGCGTCCGACTTTCGCTTAGGTCGTGATCTCGCAGTTCGTGGGTTCGGGCCCCGCGTCGGGCTCTGTGCTGACTGCCGGCTCAGAGCCTGGAGCCTGTTTCAGTCTGTGACTCCCTTTCTCTCTGACCCTCCACTGCTCACGCTGTCTCTCTCTCTCTCTCCTAGAAATAAATAAAAAAGCCTTAAAAAAATTAAAAAAAAAATTGTTGAGTGACTTAACCGAATTGCTGACTTGCTATATGCACTCTATAATACAGTCTGAAACTGACACAAGACTGTATGTTAACTACACTGCGATTTCATTTTGAGAGAGAGAGAGAGAGAGAGAGCTCACAGTGGGTGCAGAGGGAGAGGGAGAGAGAGAATCCCAAGCAGGCTCCACACTGTCAGCACAGAGCCAGACGCAGGGCTTGAACTCAAGAACTGTGAGCTCATGACCTGACCGAAACCAAGAGTCACATGCTTAATCACCACCCAGGGGCCCCCATTACACCGCAATTCCAAAAAACTATTAACCATTCAGAAGAATCTACTTATGGTGTCAATTAGAAAGCGCTCTGCTTATATTCACGGAGGTAAATGCCATTATCATCATCACTAGCAACTCAGGTCATTAGTTTCTCCTGTACCCTCCACTGTTTCTTTATGAATATATATTCTTTTTGCCATTCACAAAAATGTATAACCATTCATGTGTATGCATGTATATAAAACACACACACACACATACTGAAAAACAGCAGTGCACACACCGAGCACATAATTTCCTCACTCTTGTTTACAATGAAATCCTCAACCATGTGGGTAAAACCAGATCGTTCTGTGTTCCTGGACATGTGAGCTGTTCCCAATCGGTTCCTATTATGGACAAGGCTGTAGAGAACAGCTCGGAATAAGTCATTTCATAATGTGCGCAAGTTCATCTGCAGAATCATTCCCCCCAAATGGGATTTCTCTATCAAAGGGCAAATGCGTGTGTCAAGGACAGGTTTGGCCAAATTACTCTAAGATGGAAACTTTTGTGTGTCTGCTTTTAACCTGACAGAATGATATCCCGACTCCTACCACTTGTCACAGTAAAGATCTAAGACCAAAGCAATAGTTACCATTGACAACAGCCCAACCAAGCTAATTATATCCTCTCAGGGCAACAATGAGGTGGACAAACTCAACTCCTCAGAATGGAGCTCTGAAGGGAAGATCAGGGGATCCTAGATAAGAAGGAAGGAGGGTCCCAAATATACCCACTTCCTACCTAGCAAAAGAGGGTCTCCATAGGGTCCCCCACATTAAATAGGAGTAAAGTGAAAAGGATAATATGACAAATACGTGTACTTGGCAAGCAGGCATACAGATTACAGGAAGTGAAAAGAATATAAAGAATAGCAGGCAAAAGACCAAAAAAATTCCAATTTTTTTGAAGACTGTGTGCTCTGGAAGGGCACCTGGATGGCTCACTTAAGCATACAACTTCGGCTCAGGTCATGATCTCATGGTTCATGGGTTCAAGCTCTGCATCGGGCTCTGCACTGACAATGTGGAGCCTGCTTGGGATTCTCTCTCTCCCCTCCTCTCTCTCATTCTCAAAATAAATCAACTAAAAAAACAAAAAAAAAAAAAAAAAGAAAGACTATGTGCTCTGGAATCTGCCTGAATGTAAGTCCCAGCACTCTGCTATAAAAAAAAAAAAAGGCCGTGTGATAGGGCGCCTGGATGTCTCAGTTGGATAAGCGTCCGACTTCGGCTCAGGTCATGATCTCACATTTCATGGGTTCGAGCCCTGCATCGGGCTTTGTGCTGACAGCCAGCTTAGAGCCCGGAGCCTGTTTCGGATTCTGTGTCTCCCCTCTTTCTGACCCTCCCCTGATCATGCTGTCTGTCTCTCTCTCAGAAATAAACAAAACATTTTAAAAAAAAGAGCCATGTGACTTTAGTACAAGTTACTTGATAAGTTTGTGTTTTAATTTCAACATGTGCAGAGCGGTGATAATCACAGCAGACACTTTCAGGGTTTTTATGAAGATCAGAATGGCTGAGAACAGGGCTCCATACGCGTTAGCAGCCATTCTGGTTATTACATACGTAACAAAGGAGGTAAAGAAGCATTTACACAGGCAGGGCTTACACTCTGGGGCGGGGCTACTCCAAATGAGGTCCCCGGACAAGCCAGCCGTCTCTGAAATGTCTGGTGCCAGTCCCCGACAAGATGGGGACACTGTGCCAGGATGTTAATCAGCCACATCAGAGAGGTATGCTTTCCAGTTCAGCTGACTTTTTTTCATAGCAAGACATTTTCAATGCAGAAAGCAGCAGGGTTTACCTTCGGCGCCTGCTTCTTCTATTATGAGACCAACGCTCTGAGTAGTAATGCCCTAGGAGACGCTAAAGAGAACTAGTAGCCAATGAAATAAAAGTATCAAAGCTGAGAGAACAGAATTCCCTGAAAAGAGAGACTGCAGACAAATCAAGGGTCCGATACCATTATGAAAAAAATAGAAAAGGCAGAGAGTAGAAGAAACAGGATTGAAAGCAAATCAGTTAAACACGGTGGAAAGGCTTGAGAAAAAAAAAATCAGAGAATATAGAATGGACAATGACGACAAAGCAATTTGAAAAAAGTCATAGCTACGGAGATTAAAAAAAAAAAAGCAGCCAACAGAATAAAAACCAATGCATCTGAAATAGAAAATTGGATGAATGTAGCATGAAATTCGAAGATGTAACAGATTCAACCCCCACTCCCCCACAATCAAATGCTCAGCCTTACTGATCCCAATCAGACATTATGTGCCTTCTGATGTAATTCGATACGTGTACACAGCATAACGCATGAAGCAGTCTTGCCAAAAACGTTTAGCCTGAGTCTAACCAAGTCTTTTGATATAATTACCAGTTTACAGAAATAGGGAGGACATGAAAAATGTCCACCAAGAGGGGAATGGAGAAAACAACTGTTTTATGCCCATTATCACGGAATAGCACTTGGCAATATGTAGGAATGAACTACTGATACACGCATGGACATAGATGAATCCCAAACTAACTGTGTTGTATGAAGGAAGCCAGACCGAAAAAAAGTACAGATTTTGATTCCACTTATATCAAAATCGAAAGAATGCAAATTGATCTACAGAGACGAGAACATTCCTTCAGACTTGCTTAGGAAGGACGGAGCTTTGACACCTCTCTTCCCTGTAGTATTTATTCCTTGTCCTACACGGCATTCTTGAGAAATGTTTTGCCCTCTATTTTTAAAAATCCACAGTACTTACAGAGCTCTGTTCTAGATGGTGATGAATTACAATTCAGGCTGCCCTCTCACTAGACTTGGGTCCATCCTCTCGGGACCCCTGAGTGAGGATTTATAATTTGATGATATGCTGGGGCAGAATCTAAAAATGCAAACAGGGGTGCCCTGGCTGTCTCAGTCAGTTAAGCATCCAACCTTGGCTCAGGTCATGATCTCAGGGCTTATGAGTTCGAGCCCCACGTTGGGCTCTGTGCTGACAGCTCAGAGCCTGGAGCCTGTTTCAATTCTGTGTGTGTCTTTCTCTCTGTCCCTCTACCTCTTATGTGTGTGCTCTCTCTCTTTCTCAAAATAAATAAACATTTAAAAAACATTTTAAAAATAAAGACATTGGTGACGGACATAAGCCATGCGAGTATCTGGGGGAAGAACATCCTGGTCCTGGGGCCAAGAGCACCTAATGCCAGAGGAACAACAGGAGATGGGGTACAGTGGGGCTCGAGTGCAAGGCGCAGAGAAGGAGGAAATATTAGGGCACCTGGGTGGCTCAGTCAGTTGAGCATCCGACTTCGGCTCAGGTCATGATCTCGTGGTTTGTGGGTTCGAGCCCCGTGTCAAGCCCTGTGCTGACAGCTTAGAGCCTGGAGCCTGCTTCAGATTCTGTGTCTCCCTCTCTCTCTGCCCAGCCCCTGCTCATGCTGTGTCTCTCAAAAATAAACATTAAAAAAATTAAAAAAGAAAAAAGGAGGAGACAATGGGGAGGAGGGTTGTGAGCAGAGGAACACCCCAACCAGACTTTGGTATCTATAGGACTGGCAGAATGAAGACAGGCAGGAACACTTGTTAGGAAGCTGGTGCAGGACCCAGGGGCAAATGATGGTGGCCTGGACCAGGGCCCGGCGGACGGGGTGAGTAGGGGCTGGATCTGCGGTATACTGTGGAGGCAGAACCATGGGGTCTGGTCATGAGGCTGAGTAGGCAGAGATTACAGTCAGGAGTTTGTGGGAGCGGTCTAGCCCGGAGATGTGTATCTGACTTTCATCGGTGTACAGATTGTTAAGTTTATACATTTATTTATTTTGAGAGAGACAGAGAGAGCAGAAGCTGGGGAGGGGCAGAGGCAGGGAAAGAGAAGAGAATCCCAAGCAGGCTCCGTACTGTCAGCACAGAGCCCGATGCGCAGCTCGAACTCACGAGCTGTGGGATCATGACCTGAGCCGAAATCAAGAGTTGGATGCTTACCCGACTGAGCCCCCCAGGCACCCCAATGTATATAGACCGTATTTAAAACCTGAAGACCATAGGAGATCATTAAGGAAATGAGTATAGATAGAAAAAGGAGACGGTCCAAGGGCCGAGCCCTAGGGCACTCCAACCATGTAAGGTCAAGAACAGAAAGGACCAGCAAAGACGACAGAAAGTGAGCGGTTAGGAAAGCCAGAAGGGTCCTAGGAGAGTGTGGCGCTGACTCAGAAAGAAGAGAAGGGAAACGGTTCAAGGAAAGAGAGCGTGCAGGTGTCTTCCAGTGCCTCCAAAGGCAACACAGGACAGGCTGCTGAAGGAGCCATGAATGCATGACAGATGGACTCAGTGAGAGTGGCTTCTGCGGGCTTGTGTCAAACGTGAGGTGGGGGCGGGGGACCCTCATGGGACAGGGCTCCAAAGGAAAGAAAAGAGGTTCAAGACTGAGTATAGAGAGTAACTTGGAAGGGTTCTGCCATAAGAGCTGGGGGTGGGAGGGGGCATGGAGCCCTAAGAAGATTTGCTACAAAGATGCCTGTTGGTTTCCGACAGCTATCTGGTGGAGGTACAGTTTGGTGATGCTGGTGGGAAGGAGGGGAAAAATGAGAACTGGTGGAGGGAAGCCCTGTGTAGGCGAGGCGGGGGTGGGATCCAATGTCGGTGAAGACTCTTGATCTTGACTCAGGTTATGATCTCGTGGTTCATGGGTTCGAGCCCCGCATCAGGCTCTGCGCTGACAGTGCCCAGCCTGCTTGGGATTCTCTCTCTCCCTGCCCCTTCCCCGCTTGTAGGTGCATGCGCTTTCTCAAAATAAATAGATAAACTTACAAAAGAAATTTAAAAAAAGAAACAGGCTTTATGTGAGATGATTTTTCGCAACTGTAGGCTGATGTAAGTGCTCTGAGCACGCTGAAGGTAGGCTGGGCTAAGCTGGAGTAGGTGGGGTGTATTAAATGCGCTCTTAGGGCGCGTGGGTGGCTCAGAAGTTAGGCGTCCGACTTCTGCTCAGGTCATGATCTCGCAGTCTGTGGGTTCGAGCCCTGCCTTCGGCTCTGTGTTGACGGCTCAGAGCCTGGAGCCTGCTTTGGCTCCCTCTTTCTTTGCCCCTCCCCCACTTCTTTTGCATTCTTCCCCTAGGAGAGTGCCCCTCCCCCACTCATGCTCTGGCTCTCCCTCTCTCTCCTTAGGATATGTTCAATTTACGATGGGTTCATCAGGATGCAACGCCATGGTAAGTCCAGGAAGATATGGACTCAGGTTCTGCAAAGGAGTTCTGCCTCCTGGTGGCGACGCAAAAGTTGTGCCTGGGTTTCCAGCCCTACAGATTTCAGACCTGGAGCCCCACAACCACGCAAGCCAGTTCCCTAAAATAAATGCACCCTGCCCCCACTCTATCCAACCTACTGGTCCTCCCTCTATAGAGAGCCCTTCTACAACCTTCCTTAAGGGTTGCACTAGAGTTATGAGTTCATATTTGCATTTTTAAAACATTTTGACCACCTGGGAAGAGAGGGCCCCAAAACAGCAATAAGTGAAATAATGCTCTGCCATGATTTGATAATAAAATACAAGAACATATACAACTTTCAGTGTGTCCATGCGTTTACCCCAGAAAAAGCTTATTACTGAGATAACTGTCCCGGAAATGTAACACACCTAAAATTAAGGCACCTAGTGCTTGAATCCTTCAGCCTTGAAGAGCCTCTTAAGGTTTTTTCTCTATCTGAACAGCACCATCTTGTGGCGAATATGCGTAAAGTCAACAGTGTCCTCCCTTGTTCAATTACATTTCATCCTTATTAATAAATAAGTGATGTGGAAAACTTACTCTGTACCACGACCTGCTGGGTTTCTGGGATGGGAAGCCAGGATAAGTAGACACTCACTGCGCTATTGCTTCGTCCAGGACAACAGGTGCTACGAAAGCGCTCAGGAGGGGTACCTGCAGCGAAGGACACTTGCATGAGTAAGGCTGAGGGACATGGACGCTTTCCCGGCAGGGGGAACAGCATTTGCAAAAACACAGAGGCACCACAGAACAAAGTACATTAGGATCCTTTCCCACTAGGTGTTTATATGGCTCAAGTATACATGGTGGGGGGGGGAGGGGCAGTACCAGCAAGAAGTAAGGCTGAAGATAAACAGGATTAGTGAGGGAGCTGCCTAATATATTCTGTTCCGGACTTTGAACGTGATTACATTGGCAGAGAGCGCCTGGAAGGTGGTAAGTAGGAGGGGCATGATCTGACTTGTTCAGGACAGGTTAAAATGGCTGCAGGCAAGGAGACCAGGCTGGGGTGTGTAAGGCTCTAAATGGGGGAGAACAAGGAGCTGAGAGGCTGTTGCCATAATCTAGGTGATGGAGCAGAGCCCTGTACTAAGGAAGTGACAGGGGACGTGATGATATGTGTGGGGTCATGGTTGGTGGGGAGGGCTCACAGAGAAAGAACCAGGTATGCGTCCCAAGCAGCCCTGTGGAACTGGGTGGGTCATGTGGCCATTTGCTGTTGTGAACAGGGTGGGGGGAGGGGAGCCCTATTCATCTAGTCTGGGACACAGGGAGCTTGTCCCGGGACCCGGAAGAGGAGGGGCCATCAGGCACTCACACGTGTAGGTCGGAGGCCCAGAAGATCAAATCCTGAGCATCCGAGAATACACAGAAAGAGGAGAGCAGAGAGCTGAAGGCAGAACTACTGCCAGAGGGGCATCTGGAGGAGGAGGACCATAAAGGAGGGGAGGAGGGGCGCCTGGTGGCTCAGTTGGTTAAGCCTCCGACTCCCGATTCTGGCTTAGCTCACGATGTCTGGCTTCATGGGACTGAGTCCAGCACTGGGCTCCGTGCTGACCGCGTGGAGGCTGCTTGGGATTCTCTCTCTCTGCCCCCTCCCTCATTCGCACGTTGGCTCTCTCACTTTCAAAATAAATAAATTTAAAAAGAAAAGAAAAGAAAAAGGAAGGGGAGGAGTGGCAATGGAGGAGCAGGAAAATCAGACCCACGATGCTACCAGGAGCCAAAGGAGGAGAGCGCCTCAGGCAGCGGCTGGCGTCCACAGCATCCAGCACCTCAAGGTCCATTGGGGCAATTACAGAGGAATGGTGGCGTCACCAAACGAGACAAGGGCCCACAGGGTGTGAGGGCAAGCATGGCCAAGAAGGAGAAGGGGGCCAGGAGTTACAAGGGAACACGGGGTCCGGAGGGGATTTCATTAAGAGAAGAAAAAACCTGGAATGCTGAGAAATGGAATGTGCTAGGAGAGAGAGAGAAGACGAAAAACAGGGGTGTGGGCTCCTGTTAGTCCTGAGCAGCGTGACCTCTCCTACTCACCCCGTCCCGCTCTAGAAGAGGAGAGAGGCCACCTGATGCCTGAGCGAGGATGATGCCTGTGACGAACACTGCAGATGACTCTGTGACCTACAGGACTTGGGGGGACAAAGTGAGCGCCCTTCGGTTTCTAGGAAGGGGTGGCTGCATTACATGGGAGACAGCAGACTGCTAGTGCTCGTGCTGTCTGGAAGTGCAAGCGTGGAAAGTCAGCGGACAGTATGGGTGTTCAGCAGCCAAAGGGACGTTCTCTTAGGGTTAGGGTTAGGGTTAGGGTTAGTAAGGTTAGCGCAGCCAACATTTACTCCACCCTCCTTTTGGTGAACCTTCCTGTACTTCCTGCACCACAAGGACTAAAAGCCATATTCCCTAGACTCCCGTGAAGGTAAGATTCCAGGCGTTACTTAAGTTCTGCCCATCAGATGTACTCACGGGTCGGAGGGAAGGATGGCGAGGCAGAGCACAGGGCAGCTGTTTTGCTGCTTTAGGGTTCGGGAGCAGGCGGCTAGCCTGGGGCGAGAGCCCAGCTCCATCAGACCAGCTCTGCTCGGCGGTGTTACCAGAGGCTCTTAGACACTCAACCGAGTCTAGGTCTCCAACTTTCCCAACGATACTGTAAATCCTGTAACAGCCTCCAATGCGTACCTTTCTGCTTCAACCAGCCGGAGTAAGTTCTGGCCTGTGCAACTAAACTGTGACGGACACAACATCCACATTCACGACCAAGCACGACTGCAGAGGTGGGCAGCAACACATGGCCTGCCACCTGCTTTTGTAAATAAAGTTTTACTGGAAGAAAGGCATACACATTCACTGATGTGCTGTCTACGGCTAATTGCATGCTAGAGAGGCAGAGTTGAGTCGTTGCAACAGAAACTGTATGGCCCGTAGAGCCTATGATATTTACTGTCTGGCCTTTTCCAGAAAAGTCGGTTGAACCACAGCAATCCCCTGAACTACAGCTTGGGAGTGCCAAGCTCTATCAGGCTCTGTCCCCCAAAAGAACAGACCTATGCCAGCCAGGTGAGGAACATGTGGACTTTTCTTTGATTTCTTTACTTTGGGAATATTTTTTTAAATATTTATTTCTGAGAGAGAGAATGAGCTGAGGAAGAGCAAAGAAAGAGGGAGACACAGAATCTGAAACAGGCTCCAGGCTTTGAGCTGTCAGCACTGAGTCCGATGCGGGGCTCGAACTCAGGACCTGGGAGATGATGACGTGAGCCAAAGTCGGATGTTTAACCAACTGAGCCACCCAGGAGCCCCTACATTGGAAATATTTTTAAATCCCACTAAGGTATTCAATAATTTCAAGAATACAATGAGTAGAATTGGAAGTCACTTGATCTTCTACTGAAATAACATTATTACTTTTTTAAAAACCATTAATTTTTGAGAGAGAGAGACAGACACAGAGTGTGAGCAGGGGAGGGGTAGAGAAAAGGGGGACACACAATCCGAAGCAGGCTTCAGGCTCTGAGCTGTCAGCTCAGAATGCGACATGGGACTTGAACTCATGAACTGTGAGATCATGGGGTGAGAAGAAGTTGGTGCTTAACCAACTGAGCCACCCAGGTGCCCTGAAATAACAACTGAGAATTGGCTGTCACATGTTTATTTTCTTCTTTTGAGGGCTGCACAGAATCCATAAGGATGGCAAAGGGCTATACAAATAAAAGGATTAACTGTCAAATCTTTCCCACTCCTATTTATTTACAGTCAAAGTAAACTAGTGCCTGCATTTTTCATTTTAGGTAGCTGCGCTTGTATTAGCAACGTTAAGGTTACAGGGGTCTAGCACCCTGTACCTTTGTTTCAGAGCACTAACTATAGCTACAATTAGTGATGTGTGCCATTATTGGCTTGGACTCTCATTTTTCCCACTAGAATGTGAATTCTTGCTGGACGATGACCAAACCTGTCTTGTTCACTGTATCCAGGGTGTCGACCATAGCCAGCGTTCCAGAATACCCTCTAAAGGACTGAATGAGACAGTTCCAAATATAAGACTAACACAGTCTTTTAGATTTAGAGAGACCGCCAAACAGAGAGTGCTTTACCCTATCACAGAAATTACTGACTCAAACGGAATAGGAACTAATCAGTCCAAACACACCTTGTTGGATGTTTTATTTTATTTTACTTTTTTAAGTTTATTTATTTTTGAGAAAGAGAGAGAGAACACAAAGGGGAGGGACAGAGAGAGAGAGGGAGACACAGAATCTGAAGCAGGCTCCAGGCTCTGAGCTGTCAGCACACAGCCCGACACAGGACTCGAACCCACGAGCTATGAGATTGTGACCTGAGCTGAAGTCGGGCACCCAACTGACTGTGCCACCCAGGTGCCTGACCTTGTTAGATTTTTTACATGAGCACAGGGCGCCTGGGTGTCTCAGTCAGTTAAGCATCCGACTTCGGCTCAGGTCATGATCTCAAGGTTCGTGGGTTCGAGCCCTGCATTGGGCTCTGTGCTGACAGCCAGCTCAGAGCCTGGAGCCTGTTTCAGATTCTGTGTCTCCCTCTCTCTCTGACTCTCCCCTGCTCACGCTGTCTTTCTCTCAGAAATAAATAAAACATTAAAAAAAATTTTAAACGAGCAATTATGTTACATATGTAAAACTGATGTGAATATGAATACGGTGCATTCATTTAAAAACACGTCTCCAGCACCAGAGTTGGCAGAAAGCACTTCCTTTTTCCTCCAGGCTGAGCTACTTACTGCTCCGGTGGATGCCCCTAATACCCTGTTCGTATCTCTCACGGTGTATATCACACAGCACTCTGATGTCCTCACTGGCCTGAGGGGCCTTCTACCTCAGCCTCCCAGGCTTTGCTACGGTCAATGGCAGCTTTGCCTGCCCAGTGAGCACAGCCGGACACTGGAGGCATCCCTGACATGGTCCCCTTCCTCTCCTGCACTTTTTACTTCTAAGCTGTCACCAAGTCCTGCCTATTCGACCTCCAAAATACATCTCACATTGTTCGACTGTCTCTCTCCACCACACTTTCGCTCTGGATCCACATCTCTCTCTCTCTCTCTCTTCTCTACCACACTGCTTCCCAGTTTATCTGGTACATGCCTTCCTGGTCAGTCTGGATCCTTTCTCCGCTTATCTTTACAAACATATCTATCTGATCATGTTACTCCCATGGACAACTGTGCAGGGGCTTCTTACTGCTCTTAGAATCAAAACAATTTTTTTAAATTATGTAAGGGACAGGTGTACAGCATTAGAATTCAACATCTATATACACTACAAAGTGATCACCCCCAAAAGTCTAGTTTCCACCTACAACATTTTTTCTTCTTCTTCTTTTTTTTAAAATTTTTTAAAATGTTCTAGTGGGGCGCCTACGGCTGAGTCGGTTGAGCACCCGACTTTGGCTCCGGTCATGATCTCATGGTCTGTGAGTTCGAGCCCTGCATTGGGCTCTGTGCTGACAGCTCAGAGTCTAGAGCCTGCTTCAGATTCTGTGTCTCCTTCTCTCTGCCCCTCCCCTGCTCTTTCTCTCTCTAAAAAACAAAACAAAACAAAACAAAGCATTTAAAAAGTTTTTTTAAATAAATATTAAAATGTTCTATTTATTTTTGAGAGAGACAGAGAGCAAGTAGGGGAGGG